TCTCTGCTGGTGTTCTTTCCCCCCTAGAACTAGGCTGGAACCACCCCAGAGACTTCCATATGTTGTATTACCCTAATTGGCTAGTCCATATGTGTAACCGCCACATTTTACTTCCTACGGACAGGATGTGGCTTCCGCAGCATCCCCTTCCCTTTTAGGGCACGCTTTCCCAGCGTTATCCAAATAGTCACACTGAGTGGGTCTTGTGGAACAGCAGTGACTGACCTTCTCTGCTTAGAACCCTGACTCCTGCTCCAACAGTTGGGGGCGGTCCAGGAGTCTCAAGCAGAGCGCTGGAAGGGCCAGCGACAGTGGCGTGTTGGTAGATATCCCCAATTCGACGGTCAGTTTCGACGTACGTCGAACGTGACCGACTGAAAGGGAACGTCTCGATTACGTATGTAACCCTCGTTCCCTGAAGGAGGGATGGAGACGTATGTCCCATCGCCACAGTCGTTGTACCTCCGCTGTAAGGCTGAGTCACTAGCTCGGCTCCTCAGCAGAAAAGCAAATATGCGACGCACTGGCTGCTCATTAAATACTTGCGCCGCAGCGCAGAGCAGCTGTGGCAATTATCGCATGCCAATGTGCATTGGCTCATTTTTCTTACACTCGAAGTAGATTGGTCTCCCAAAGCAATCCCCAATTCGTCGGTCAGTCTCCGTTCCCTCCTTCAGGGAACGAGGGTTACATACGTAACTGAGACGTTTTGATTTATATGCTGTTTAATGTTTGATGATCATGTTAGATTACATGTGAAAGCAATACCTCTGTTTTGTTTTGTTTCTGCTTCTTTGTCTGTGTTTTTGATCCGGAGATTCTGTACTCTTTCAGAAGATGCGTAAAAGATGTGTAATAGCACCCCGTAGCATATAACTGTCAAAACATGGATTGTTGTCAAATATACTTTGACTTTTTCTGTCACTATAAGTACTTAAGTATACTTAAATGTCATTTTAAATATATTTCTGAGAAGTACATAAAGTATATTTCTGAAAAGCACATAAAAAGTAGACTGAAAGTACACTTTGTTTTTTGTTTTTTTTGTTTGTTTAAAAGAAGTATAATAATAGCACACTTGGAATGAACTTTTTTTTTTTCGTAAGGGTGGTGATCTATATCTTTTGGGAGAGAAAGGCATAATGTTACATAGAGCACGTAGTAAATCTACATAAATTATGTGTAAAGCAGAATGACAAATTGAACAATAGCATTAAACAAAAAAAACAAGAGCGCACCACACTTCGAGTTACACATTATCACAAGACAAGGAACTGAGGCAATCTAAAGACTTAAAAACACACAGGGACTAATCAACAACATGGACCAGGTGCATAACTTAAATCAGAAACCATGGCAACTTACAATGAATGAGAACTCAGGCAAAACAGGGAAAACCAAATTAAGCACAATAAAAAACTAAACATAAGCCTTACATTACACCCGCCCAGCCCCCCCCCTTGTCAGTGCTGGTAGCCTCGTGGGCAAGTGTGCTGACATATAGTGCCATTGTGCTTTGGGCGTCCTGAGTTCGAGTTCGGGCAGGCAGACCGTTCCCGATCATATCCCCTATCTCTCTTTCTCTCTCGATTTGCTTCCTGTACACGCTATACTGTCTAATCATAATAAAGGCGAATATGGCAAAAATAAATCTTAAAATTCTTAAATCTTAAATAGTACAAGTTATAATGTTTAATCAGTGAGAATGATTATTCTACCACAATTACTATTTTTTTTCCAGATACTTCCAATAGAAATATCAAATCATATCACACATTTATGTAAGGATGGGGGATTCAAAGGGCAAAAGGTTGTGAACTACATCATAATTCTTCAGACATTACCACGTGGACAAGCACCTTCATGGTACTTGGAATTTTGTTAAATTGTTTAAATGCATAATATCTCATAAATGGTAAAAATATGTACAATTGTTCAAATAACGTTTTCTATAAGACAAATATGTAAGCCATTTCAGCTTTTGCCCCTGGTGTCTAGTGACAATGTAGAAATGATGTCTCTGTTGACTTTACAGCATTTAGAAACAAAAATAAATACTAGTTATTGTAACTGCAGAAAATAAATTTAACATACTGCACTGTTTGGTTGATTTCAGAATGGCAAACAATATCATGTGGGCTGTTGTTGTCTGTCTGTAGGTTATCTGGCTGTATGGTGACAGAGGAAGGCTGTGGTTATTTGTCTTCAGCTCTGAGTTCAAACCCCTCACACCTGAGAGAGCTGGATCTGAGCTACAATCACCCGGGAGATTCAGGAGTCAAGCTGCTCTCTGATACACTGAACAATCCAAACTGCACACTGGACAAATTCAAGTATGTTAAGCAGGATTTTTTTTCAATTTTATTATTAAAATTACTCCTGTATACCTGTGTCAGATTGAAAGGCATGTAAAATATAAAAAATGTAATACATTTATTAATATTATTGGTGAATTAGAAAAATGTTTAGCTGTAAAGGTTGGAATATGTATAAACAAGCATACAAACATAAGCTTGCATAAACAAGCCAATGTTTATGCTTTAGTACTTCCAGCTGCTCATTCAAAAGGGTGACAGAGATCAAATATATACTTATACAACCATCTTTAACATATCACAATATCGGCATCATGAAGTAAACATTCATTGTCATAATACATTAACAGTGGATTATTAGAAATTGCTGGCCACAAATGTGCAGTATTTATTGATTTACTCTGAAACTGTGAGCCTGCAGAATGTGCAAAAGTGCAGTGCTTTACTTTGAAACATGTTCACTTTAAGCACTAATAGCATTATTAAATAAAAATAGGTTGTAGTCTACAACCGGTCTTCAATCATACAAATAGAAAAAACATTTATTATAGATGTACTGTACTGTAGTGATTCAGCATAAGACAAAACTACGGTTTGGAAAATTGATTCATGATGTATTTGCTCATTATATAAATTTTGTAAATTAAAAAAAAAAGAGTTGCATTGTGCAGCATTAAACATGATAAAAGAAGAAACTTAGGTTACACTTTATTTTGATAGTCCACTTTAGACATTCTACTAACTATAAGTAACTTTGCAACTACATGTCAACTAATTCTCATTCATTTGCAGCTACATGTCTACTAACTCTCAGAGTGGACTGTTAGGTTAGGTTAAGGGTTAGTAAAATACGTTGACATATACTTTCAAAGTTTCTCATAGTCAGTATGTTGTATGTTGTGGAACCATCAAAATAAAGTGTTAGAAGATATTAAGCAGACAGTCTACTAATACTCGAATGACTGCTAGTTGACATGTAGTTGCAAAGTTTACTTACTGTTAGTAGAATGTCTGAAGTGGACTATCAAAATAAAGTGTTACCGAAGAAACACATACAAAAAAGAGGTTAATTTTTAACAGCCATTTTTTATGTGATGATTTTTATAAAATAAAAGGGGTGCCAGTCTGGCATATTAGCCAGACAAAAATTTCAGTTAAATCGTCTCAAAGGAATCCAATACATATTTATAGAATCCCTTTACTATCCTGTTGTTTTGTATTATTAATTTTTTTTCTTCTTCAATTCAATTGACACTTCATAGACCTTAGCAGGTGAATCACATATATTCCCATTTTAAAAAGTGCACAAATTCATTATTTCCCTTCTCAGTACAATACAACAAATCTCAAGAGTCAATACAACACAATCAATCCAACCGTATCATAAAGGTAACATTTCCCGACTTGTCAGATAATACACACATCATAATACACATATAGGATGATACCCACAAGAAAAACAGTTCATACGGCAAACTCCCAGTCCGTATCACGTATCATATCACGTTTAGAAAGAGTTGTGTAATGTTCATACCTTGAGTCCTCAGTTACGTTTAGAAATGTCAGCTGAAATTACATCATCGTAGCGTAAATCACTAAACAGGATTAGAAATGTCCGTTGAGCACGAGTAGAAGTCATAACTTGCGTTATATCCAGTTCAAAATAAAGAAACCCACCCCTAAATACAAACAAATGAAATACAATTAACAAACATTACAATTTTATAATAATAAACAACAAGACATGGCTTATCTTGCAATCTCCATTTTAAATGTGGTTAGTGGCTCTCCAAACACTCCTCAGTGGGAGAATCAAACACACCAAACATCACTTCAGCGGAAGATTCCATCACTCCAAACACAGCAATAGCGGGAAATTAAAGCACTTCAAACACGGCTCTGAACAACTTTAGCGGAAGATTTATCACTCCAAACAAGAGACTCAACAAGAGACTGAAACGGGACACTCGAACACTCATAGCACGGTTTCACAGAGAGAACTCAATATGAATCGGAGGACATAAGATTAAGGCATGTGAAACGCAGTTATAACTCATAACAACTGGACATTACTCTTTCCACTTCAGCCCTGATGTCACAATCCCCGTCAAGAATACCAACTCACTATTTAAAGGGTTAGTTCACCCAAATATAAAAATTAGCCCATGATTTACTCACCCTCAAGCCATACTAGGTGTATATGACTTTCTTATTTCAGATGAATACAATCTTGTGTAAGAAAAATATCCATATTTACAACTTAATAAATCTTAATCCATAGCTTCTGCTAACTGTCGTATGCACAGAGGAGAGAGCAAACAAAACAAAACACCGGTCACGAATTAGTAATACAAAATGAGGATTTGTAAAGAAAAATGTTGGAGGATTTCAATATAAGCCAAGAGGACACGCGAGACTAGCATATTCTCACTAGAGTTTATGCTACGCCTACATTCTACATCATCCGTAGGACAGTGTAGTCAAGACCATTTAAGAGAGGAATTAATGAGATATTTCAGTCTTTAATTAATGATTGAGCATTAGCAAACACTTAGAAAACACTTCTTGTTAACAAGAAGAATCACTGAAGGAAATAGGAACAAGAGCAACAAACTTATAGCATTATAATTATATAATAGTTTGTTTTTGTCAGGTTGCGCCATTCACGTCGGATATAGACATATGTCTTATAGCATCCCTGACAGCAACATAGTGTTGGCCCAGATCTGGCCCACATCTGGTACATGTGGATTCCACACGGGCCCGATGTGAGCCGGATGTGGACCTACACTATGTTGCTGTCAGGGATGCTATAAGACATATGTCTATATCAGACGTGAATGGCGCAATCTGACAAAAACAAACTATTATAATCATGTTGAGATTTGACAATTTCCGGACAGTAAACTGTTGCCCCGTTCAATCTCTGAAATACTCCAAGCACTCGCACTACTTCTGAACATGAAGAGCTAATAGATTTGCAGCGCCCACTCTGTTGCATTCAGTGTAAGACACAATTAGGGATGAAACGATTTACTCAACTCACGATTCGATTCGATTCACGGTTTTGATTGCTTCTATTATCCTCATTTGTAAGTCGCTTTGGATAAAAGCATCTGCTAAATAACACAATTTAAATATAATGTAAATGTAAATAACAAAACTACATTGAAATTTTAAAACAAGCCCCAAATCAAATAAATAAGTAACACAAATAAAAGAAATCTCTTCATATAAACAAACTAAAGCCTTGTTCACACCGGGACGAATATCGCAGAACTGTGGATAAACCGATCTTACTTGTCTGGGAAGAGTTCTGCGATGAAGTTTTCCACAGAGACCACAGAGCATGTCAAACGATCTGAATCATCACATATTTTAATCGAATTTCAACCGGCTCGCGGTTAATCGTTACATCCCTAGACACAATGTTAAAAAGGATGTGTATTACATTTCAAATAAATGCTGTTCTTTTGAACTTTATTTTCATCATGGAATCCAAGAAAATTGTACACAACTTTTTTTTTAAAGGGGTCATATGATGCGATTTCAATTTTTCCTTTCTCTTTGGAGTGTTACAAGCTCTTGGTGCATAAAGA